CGGGTAAATCGGAGCTGACCTTTGGTTATAAAAATCCCTGCAACGCGGAGGTGTGGGTGATGCGATGGATGCCTGATAGTGGGAGAGGCGACGGCTTCCTAAACATCTGAAAACCTGACTGTGTGTAGACTCAAAGAAACCCACTCATCAACGAAGTCTTGTCAACCAAATTGTCGTTTTCTCAACAGAATTAAGTCTTATTTTCACCCTGACTATTGTAACAACAGAGAACAAATACTGTTCTCAAAACAATGTTCTACGTTGAATACACTGAAGACTGTTAGCACGAACGGTTTCTTTCACGAACTTCGACAACTCACATAAAATCACAAGAACTATTACATTTCATACCTCCGACGTAAATCTACTTTTTTTTAACCGGGTTAGCCCTCACTAAAACCCTTGTATTGTATCATCTGCCTTATATTTTGCATTGTTTTGTATACACTCGCATTTTTCTTGCTATATCTCATGTTATTTGATTGATTTTGATTGTAAACTTAATCTTTTACCCACAATTACCATTGAGACTTATTTTAGAAAAAAAAAAGGTACTTATCCAGAAATTTATTATCCCTTTTTCAGGGCGCACAAACCACCAAATTTATGCATCCTTAATATTTAGCAAAATTCTTTTTATTTTAATAAAATTGTTTTGGTTTTATCTTTGAGTATCACTCGTTATTTATTACGGTTCACCTTATTGCCACTTTTATATATATATATATATATATATATATATATATATATATTACCTTATTTCGACTTCTACAGTTTGTAGATCTCTTGCAAACATTCCGTCTTCTTACACTTAGTCCTTTCTTCTCGCTTCCCTTTACTACCTGCAGTTTTCTTTCTGTGTCTGCCAACAATACGGTGTTAGAGTTGCACTTTCTTAGTGTCTTTATTTGTAACTAGGCGCACCAGTTGCAATTCCTAGCAATAGAGGCCAAATGACAGCAAATCTCAAATATTCCCGCAATTTCCTGAGTATCAAACCGATTTAATAATGCTGGCAACTGGATGGCTTTCATTTTTTCTTTGATTTTCAATTCTTCTAAACTACTTACAAGGTCGTTTGGACTATTCCAGGTGGTCTAATAATGATTGGCACAACCATCGCCTTTATGATCCTCAATCTTTTTTTTTTTTTTTGACACGGTGTCAATATTTATCGCAGCGTTTCACTGTTTTCCCGTTTCTGAATGTTAGAATTACATTTCTTCTTCTTCTTCTTCTTCTTCTTATTCTTCAACTTCTTCTATAGGCTTTAGGACGTGGCCGATCATGGATCTCTACATTTTCTTATCCATTGTAGTTCCCAGTAAGGTTTGTCTTTTCGTGATCTCCTTCAATCCCTGTCTCTATTATTCATTTGTACACGCCCGTTATGTAGATTACTCGCTGCTTTCTTTTGTTCCCATTGCTCGACATGTCCCGTGAGTGTCAAATTCTTCAAGCTGTCTTTCCTCATTATATATCTTAGGAATTTTCAACTGTTAATTTCTGATTCTAAGTATAAGCATCTTTTTGTTTCCATTTTCTTTAAAACTTGCTGATTACTCACGTGTTCAGTCCATGGTATTGTCATTATCTTTCTGTGGAATCTCTGTTGCTTCAAGTTTCTTCTTCATCCAGCATCCATATAGGAGGATTTATATTACATAACAGTTCAATACTCTCTTTGCGAAGTTCAAAACAATTTTATGTTTTTTGACTTTTTAGTAAATGTGATGATGGTGACGGGTCATTGAAGAGTTTTCGACCCCACACTTCTTTTCGAATTATCAAAACTGCTTAAATTCACCTCATTCACAAACTGGATTACCCCTTTCATTTCTCTCTTTGCACAGGCAATGCTTTCTATTTTCTAATGATTTTATTACATAAAATTTATTTTTTTAAGTGGATATCCGTATTTTAGTAGATGTCCCGTGTTTTTTTTTTTAATGGCTAAAAACAATTCCGCTTTCAGACAATATATCAAGCAAAAAGGTACTTATCCAGAAATTTATTATCCCTTTTTCAGGGCGCACAAACCACCAAATTTATGCATCCTTAATATTTAGCAAAATTCTTTTTATTTTAATAAAATTGTTTTGGTTTTATCTTTGAGTATCACTCGTTATTTATTACGGTTCACCTTATTGCCACTTTTTATATATATATATATATATATATATATATATATATATATATATATATATATATATATATTACTTTATTTACATCGTTAGGATACTGACGAGACACCCTCGCATCTAGTCAAAGACATTCAATTTTCCATTTTTCTAGTTTTTTTTTTCTTTGTTAACATTTCGGACCGGGATTTCTTACTAAACTATCAAATAAGTAGAATCCTTGGGACAAAATGCCTTTGAGTGGGGAGGGAGGGGGAGGGAAAAAGAAAAAAATTTAAAAACGAAAAAAAATAAAAAAATAAAAAAATAAAAAAAATAAAAATGAAAAATGTAAAGTATTATTAATAAAGATGATAGTAACGAATCCATCATTTATTGTAGTTATAATTCAAAAGAGGGAAGGTTAGAGTCTATTGTAATAGTACTATGAAAGTGATAGTTGTCTGAGATTAGCTAGTTGTTGTTTTTATTGTTATAATTTAAAAGAGTAACGGCTAGAGGCTACAGTAGGAACAGTAGTGGTGTTGATGGGATAAATCTCGCAGTCATTGTTCTTATGTAATCGATAGACACCTTTGCGTCTTCTAAAATACATGCGATGTACACAAGGTGAGATCGATAGGGTCGAACTTACATAGATCAGGAGATAAATATACTTTTATTAAGTGGGTCGATGTGAACAAAAGAATGTCTCAAAGCAAACTGATCGATATTGGCAGGTAGTTGACGATTCGTTAACAATCGAGCTTTGTTTAATAAATGTCACAATTTCTTTGATGCAAAAATTTCCAGCAGATTGTTTTAAAATCTAGAGTGAATCTCATTCTTCTATGTGCTGTGCCTCTTCAGGACGTTGGCGATCATGGCTCTCCACAGCTACAAGCTCTTTGCAGCTCTTAATAAATTTTATCCTTTTGTTATCTCTTCTCCTAAACCTTGTTTCGCCATCCATTGGCTCACGCTCGCTAGGTAGGTGGCGTATCTTCTTTCTTTGTCCCTGTTGCCATCAATATATCCTGTGAGTGTCGAATTTTCCAAGACCTCTTTCCAAGACCTCTTTCCAAGACCTCTTTCCAAGAAATTCTAGCCGTCTCTTTCAGATGTTAAGTATAAGAGTCCATTTTGTTTCCATTTTCCCTAAAACTTGCTCACATGTCCGGTCCATGGTATTCTCAGCATCCTTCTGTAGAACCACACTTCTCGTGCCTCAAGTCTCCTCTTCATCTGTAAGGAGAATGTTCAGAATTCAATTACACACCAAATATATAATGCTTGTTGAAACTTGCTTTCTCGTTGAGAAGAGCGACAGTGTAACATCATGTTCAGAAATACTGCTGCGTTTACAGAAGATTTTACGAGGCGGTTGCTCGCCCCACGTCTTACACCAACACTGGTTGCCTACCAAGTCTAGAGAGTTCAGTCTGATCTGTTGTTTTAGCTAAGTGAGGGGAGATGAGATGGGATTTTACCTTTCCCAAGGGTGTTAGTGCAGCAGACTCGACCAGAATTTGAAATCGGCTAGACGAGTTCAATTCCTACGCCGATGACCATATTATGATACACCAGTCATTGTTAATCCACTGCAACAACTTTGTATTGCGGTCGACTGGCATTCTCTATGGCATTCACTTTCGAGTCTTACTATCAGAATCTTCTATCTCACCTATCCATCATTCCTAACGCCTCGTTCCAGAATATGGTATTCTAATTCGTGTCTCACTAGCAGAATCCTCTATCCCATTAATCCATCGTCTATATGATTTTTTCTTACTAAATTTATATTCTCTTCTTGGTGACTGCTGTCTGTTCTACCGCGTCAAATTCTTTTTCATGGAACGTATTTTGTTATATTTGTTTTTTTTTTTTATTTGTAAGCTGATCTATTGTATGTAGATTGTTGTATTTTTAGTTTCCACTCACAATATCTGATCTGTTCGTGTAACTGGTTTTCAAATTTGTGTTTTTTGTAAGCACTTTTTAGGATAATTTCTATGTTCGATTTTAATACACTAAGTGGATTTTCGCCATTGTCTTTATTACCTCCTCACCAGTTGTTTTCAAATAAAATAGTCTATTTTTGATTTGATTTCTCATATTCTATGCTATTTCGTATTCAATCTATAGTTTATTATTCTGTGTGGATTTCTGCATTTTCAAAAGGTCTGTTATTATGCCATCTTCAGCTGGTGCTTTGCCGCATTTCACATTTTGAAGTGCAACATTATTTCATTTGTTGTTTCCTTAGGAACATCATTAATGTTTTCTAGTGGTATTTTTTATTTTCGATACATACAGTACTCCGTGGTTATTAACATCTTGTTCGTCCATTTGCTAACTTCCCCTTTTTTGTCTCACAATGTAAGCATTTGCAGTGGTTGTGGATCATGCATGTTTCTTGACTGCTTCTACACTTTCCAACTTCATCTTCCTTTTAGTTTACGTGTTATATTCCTTATTTTCAGTTTTATCTCTTTGTATTTACTACCATGCTTCTTTTCATTTTCAGCAGTTCTCGTGTTGACTTTGATTATCTCCCTTTGTTGTTTCTATTTCCGTTTCTTTCCCCGCTGTTATCTCCTCCGCTTACGTAATTGGAACTGCCATTTTGCTATTCATATTTTCTGTTATTTTCGTCATTTCACAGAGCTTTGAATCTGTTTTTGATTTCTACCCGAAATTCGATGATATTTTCCCCGACTTTATTAGATGTTTCCTTCTTAATCTACAATATTTATATTGGACAATGTTAGATCTGTGTGATCTGTGGTTAAAAACTGGCTTCAATGAAACGACAAGTGAGAAAATTACGTCGAAAAATAAATATGGCTTGTATAAAATAAATTCTCTTTTTATCATTAGGCCAGGAACGTATTAATGTACACACACACACACGCACGCACGCACACACAATATCTATCTATCTATCTATCTATCTATCTATCTATCTATCTATCTATCTATCTATCTATCTCAGTTTATTTTTTATATTTTTGTGCATGTTCATATAAATCTATTGCCCTTTATATTCATTGTGGGTGTCTTTTACATCCATTTAGCCAAATGCCATACACCACCTTTTTGAGGTCTAAATAAATTTTTTCATCTGGGCGCGTGGGTGAGTGAGTAAAGAGAATTAAGTGCGTTTTAAGAAGTATATTGTGTCATTCCTATTTTTGAAAGTGTTGTTATTTTTTAAAAAAATGAATCGAATTTTGATAAACACAATATGCTTTATATAGGTTATACAACAACCACTCTTTCACGTAAACTCACTGCCATTTATTTGGCCAAAATGCCATTTAGCAACATATCAACAAGCTCGACAAGAATTACAATATTAGCTTATTTCTAATTATATTATAATACTTTATAATAACCGTTGGGATAATACAATAGACCTTATTACCCATAATGCACCATTGACCAGCATATATACGTAGTCGAGGAAAAACACAGCACACATTCCCTAGAGATTGCATTCAAGCATGAAACACTGTTCACCGCTAGGTGTTGACCTAAGTGTCCACTTTTATATTTTATATTTACATAAGCTCTATGCAAGGTATTGAGTACTTTTACCCATAAATATACCATATCATAAAACTATATTTTAACATATATATATATTTTTACAATATATATATATATATATATATATATATATATATATATATATATATGAGAAAAATTATCAGAGTTAAACTGTAGAAAAAGATAATATATATAAAGGTAAAAGACAATAGGAAAACTGTATTATTAATGACGAGTTTCGTCCAATGTGGACTTTTTCAAGCTGGAAACGAAATGAATTTATTAAAACAAAGTAATTATTAACAACAAAAACAAAATGTCCTTAGCAACTAGAAATACTGTTTTCCTATTGTCTTTTAACTTTATATATATATATATATCTTTTACTATATATATATATATATATATATATATATATATATATATATATATATATATATATTACTATATGTATATATTTATATTTTTACGATATATATATATATATATATATATGTCACTTTCCTGGGCAAGTAAAATATGATCAATGGACTCTTAAGGTTGTCTGTTTTTTAATTAAACATATATATATATATATATATATATATATATATATATTAACCTTACCATAAGGAATAAGAATCTCCTAATTATAGTAACATTAGCTCTAACCACCCCTATGATATATTGAAGCAGATGCCGATTATTGTTTGTTCTAGAATTAATAAACTGCCATCTAATAAGGATATATTTGATAAGAATAAGGCATTTTACGAAAATGGTTTCCAGAAAAGTGGATTTGTTAATAAAATATCTTACGTAAATCCCATAAATAACCATAGTGAAGTTAAGAATAGTAGTTCGCACAAAAATAGGAAAAGAAATAGTTCCCTCACTTTTGTAGGTTATCCAGAATTAATATTGGGCAGGTTTTCTTGAAACTTATAAACAAATATTTTCAGAATAACAACCCTTTAAGTAAGTTCTTTAATAGAAAAACTATTAAAATAAGTTATTCATGTCCTAACAATGTTTAAAATAATAAACTCCCACAACAAATATATCCTTTACAAATAGAATAGTGTCAATAAGACTTCTAGTATAGACCCCTCTTGTAATTGTAGAAATAGTAACCTTTTCCCAGTCGATGGAAAATGTAGAGCGTCTAATGTTATTTGTCAAGCCACTATTTACCTCAAGGAAAATAGATTAAACCACCATGTTTATATTGGGATTTCTGCGGGAGAATGGAAGAAAAAACTTTATAAACACACACACTTTTTCCAACCCAAGACTGAAGCACCAAACTGCTCTTTCCCAAAAATTTTGGGAATTAGGGGAGAAAGACCTGAACCTTCAAATCGACTGGGAAGTCAGGTTTTGCTCAGACTCTTAGTAGCTTTAAGGGTAGCTTTAAGGGTAGATGTTTGGAGAAAGAAAATTAGAATTATCAAATTTAAGAATCAAAATATTTTGCTAAATGAAAGGAATGAATTAGCTTGCAAGTGTCGTCAGAGAAGAAAATTTCAATTGATATAATATTATTTCAACCTCGCATTTTTCACATTCACTTATCTTCTATATGTGAATTTTTTCTATATATGAAATTTTCCTATATTTAAAATTTTGTCTATATACAGAATTTTCTTGTATATGTAAATGTTTTTTTTTAACTCTCTTCCCATTGGTTTCTTTATATATGTTACTGCGTTTATTAAGTTTTATTATTTTTTCTATTTTTCTTTTGTTTTATTGTTGGCTATATCTCATCATATTTCTTTAATATCAGTAATTTTCTCAATAGAGACCCGTTTTGTAATGACAAATGTATCATTTTAACTAACCTTTCCTTAAATATATCATAACAGGTGATGAAAAATGGGTTCCATGTGGATTGACAAGAGTATATCGCCACAACCTTCCCCAAAAGCTGAGCTCCATGGAAGAAAGGTAATGTTGTGCGCTTGATGGGAACATCGACTTATTAATTTCGAGTTCTTCAAACGCAGTGTAACACTAAATGCACATTTATGTATGTAGCAGCTGCAACGCGTTTATGTTTGTTCGGAAATCACTCTGCATGCGTCAAGAAAAAGAAAACGCAAGGCTGCATCCAACAAGAAGAACGCACGAAAAATTTTGTAACTAGATTCATCCATTCGACCCCACCTACTACATACTTCCCTGACCTTGCACCAAGCAGGTATTACCTTTCTCAATCTCTGCAAAACGCTTTGAAGGAGAAAAATTTTTCTAACGAAAACAAGATTCAAGAGTTTGTTTAAAGGTTGTTCACAAAAAAACTGTTTAGGCACTTCACTGTTTAAAGACATCTAACGCTAGTAAAATAATAGGTTTCAAGTGTTGTTCTCTTTTACTGCTCGAGAATGAATGTTAAAGTTTGCCATTTTTGGATTTCATCCTGTCATATTCAGCATTTAAACACAGAGTCAATAGATTTTAAATGAAATCCTTGCGCATTTTCAATTTAGTTCTGATTCTTATGTAATTTGATGAGTAGAATCTCATAATATCAATTAAAATTATATTTTCAGTTGAATGCTAATTGAATTTTATTCAAAAACGTGTCGAAGAGCAGCCTGGTATTTGGCAACAAGCCATTGCGAAATAATGGTAAATATATAATAGAATGTAATTGGACTTCATTTTTGTAAGAATATACTTGATAAACAAAGAGCAGAAATTACTGACGACTCAACCAATTGTATTTTATTTAATTTAATGAACCACATCTATAACCATTTATGCTTTAACAACAGTGGTTAATGCTACAAATCTGGGGGCGTGTTTGGGGGTTTGATTTCCCTCCCACTTGTATACATAAAGACTGGATGTGATGCGTGGGAGTTTCGTTTTTTGGCAATTCATTTGAGTGGTGATGGACACGAATTTCTGTAAACAAATTTCTTCTCGGGAAAATTAATGTTTCCTGAAAGGCAAACAAAAACAAAGCCTCAAACTTGTAATGAGAGCCTGAGGGGAATTATGTCTCACAGATTATCAATCAAAAATCGCATAACCAGTCATGATAAATGGATATCAATAATCGATAGAGAAACCTAATACTGATTGATCGATAAAGAGATTAGTCGATGAGGCCAAACTGCTGCGGTTTTAGTAACAATTTGCTTATCTGATGATAGACTGCCGTACAGGGCAAAATAGATTCATTTCTTACAGGATTAAAAGGCTTAGCCATATTACGGACCTATAGCTAAGGTTAAAGTGGATTAATGCTTTAAAGGGCTAAAAGGCTCAAGCCTACTAGGAGCAAGTAGGTAGAGGGAAAAGTGGTTTAGTGCCTTTACCCATTGCTAAGTGAACACTCACTTTTTTTTTCGTCAATTCAGTTTTCCGCGGCATTAATCTTTTGGCCACCAGCATCTTCATGAATTGAGTAATCAATATTTGATTTAAAGAAATGTATTTATTTAGCTTATATATCAATATTTACTTTCATCTTCCTCAGAACATTTTTGACAATGATGGAAGCAAACATCTAACAAAATATACTCAGAAATGAATTACTCATTTGTAATTTCGATATTTTTTTCTCTTCTTTCGGCGAATTGAAGAAAGGACCGAGACATATATTTTTTACCATATATATATATATATATATATATATATATATATATATATATATATATACACACACACACACATATATATATATATATATATATTTATATATAATTATTTTTTATAAAAAAAAATTTATAACATAAATATGTTATAAAATCACTACAAAAATAGCCATTTTGTTTCAACACCCTCGGCGTCTTATCAAGTGATGATGTTGAATATAAAATAAATGGTTTTAAAATTTTCAAATTAATTAACGATCCTTCACTAGGGGAAAACATTGTTACAAAAGCTAGAATGACCAATCAAAACCCAAGTATAGGAAGATTCAAAAGCTTGACAACGAAATCATGTTATAATAGCTATTCAGATCTTTAAAATACGGGTAATATTAAAAAGAATTTATTCTAACCAATAATTATTAAATCATATGATAAAATTTGATATTAAAATTAAAAACTGCCAATTTTAAAATCCAAATTTAATCACTATTGCGTTTAAAAACTATTAAATTACTGAGGAGAAAAGAAAAAATACATGTTATTCAATTTATTTCTTCGTTGAAATTACGTTAGAACAGACGCTACAATATCCGGTCATTTGACAATACATGTATATATATTTTAATCCCAAGTGTGTGAATGGGGTCTTAAACTCACGCGCAAAACAACAAAAACACAATCAGATTATAATACATAAGCACCCAGACATATTTAGATATATATACACACAAAAAAGCGACGATACAGTAACATCTTCACAGCCCTTTATGAAAAAAGGAAACGGGGAAACCAACACCTACACACACACACAATTAAAAGTGAATGCACTCTCCATACACACAGACACCGATAAATACATCTACACACATCCACAGACATTGACCTTGACA